AAAATCTCATTTGCATTGCAGTAACGTACGTCATACTGTGTGCTTGCAATGCAGTACGATTTCTTTGTGGACATTACATAATGGAAATATATTCCTTTGCAGGACAAATAACCACAGGTGTGTGATGTGGTTATTTAAAGGGAGGTGGGTACAGTCAAAGGCATCCTGTATATTATGTGTAAAAGACATGATCTCCAGAGGTCCTCTCCCACCTCAACTATTCTGTGATCATCTGTGACCCCTGCTCAAGCAGGGTCAGCTAGAGCAGGTGGCCCAGGACCGTGTCCGGTCAGCTTTTGAATATCTTCAAGGATGGAGACTCCACGACCTCTCTGGGAAACCTGTTCCAGTGAAACAGTGAAAATGGTTTTTTATATTCAGATGGAATTTCCTGTGGTTCAGTTTGTGGCCACTTCCTCTTGAAATTCCGTTACAGGTTTGAGAGAGCACGCGTGCATCTTAACAAGTATATTACTGAACAGTCATGAGGCAATTTTCTAAAATGTATGCTGCAATATAAATGAATACAATTTGTGTTATGTAAGTTGCTGCAAAAGAAAATAGGAAAAAATATTCAGGTTGAGGATTTTCATCAGTGTATTTCATAACATTTTAAAGTATGACAACACTATTGAATATTTTCGTATTTTTTATATGTTAACTTATTCCACCTGCTTCTATAAAACTGGTTTTAACGTCATTGAACTGAGTGAAGTCTGTAAAGTGACCGAAAATAAGGAGACATTTCTGTACCCCAAATTCCAGTGTAGTCAGCTGCCCGTATTCTGAGATCAACTTGAACAAAGAAAGCCTCTTACCTGATCGGTTAAGTGGGGAGATGCCTGCAGCCAGTCCTGGCCCCAGAAACAGAAAAGTGGAAGGTAGTGAAAGATCCGCCTCTCCTGTAATCAGGTAATTACAATCAAAGCCATATCTGTGACTAACAACAATACAACTGTTCATTTCAATGTTCTGTGCAATGATTTGTAGTTGTGTAAGGGTCGAATAGTTTCTGAAAGGCCTGTCTCTTTATCTGCGTTTTCATTTACTGGGAAGGAATGCTTTTATCAGTGCTCATTATCAGTGCTCAGGAAAGGTCACTGAACTGACAAAGATTGATACTGATTTTATTATGTATGATTTAACAAGAGTTCACTTTCATTCCTCTTAACTATGTAGACTACTAGGTGGTAAATTACAATTTCAAATGGATTTTTTGCTGGTTGATTTCACTTAAGAAAATGATTTGTTTGTGTTTCTGTTGTTTGCTGAGGCGGCCTTACTGACAGGAGTATACATGAATGTTGCTCTCTGAAGAATAGCCACTGTAAATTTTGTTGTTACCGTGGGAGCAGGGAATCAAATTACTGGAAATGAGTTTTGCAAGAACAGTATATAAGTCTGTAACTAATGCTTCTAGCAGGAACAGTAAAACACAAAAATGGATGTGATCCCAAGAGGCTTTTCAGAGATGATTTTCAGTCAGAAGTTGTAGATACCGACTCCTGTGCTTATTTTGGGTTGGGGAGGATAAGCAGACAATTTAAGAAGAAAAAGAAGAGAAGAGAGGCTTTCCGTTCTTTTTGAGGCCTACATTAATGTGTGCCATAACGTGAGTGCTTATATTGAAGATGTCCAGTTTCCACTGTAATGACTATGTATTTTCCATATTGCTAATATTTTCAATATTTTAAATGACATTCTTGGAGAGAATTTCAGCTCTATGCTTTAGAAACAAAATATTCATCTATTAAAGAGTGCTGCCTGGTTTGATCTTTCCTGTAAGTGTGGAATTGTAGAAATCAAAAGTGAATTAATTATCCTCTGACAAATAACCTGAATACGCTCCCAATGAAGCCAGAAATAGTTTCACCAGTATTCTCTGTGATGGGGACAGTGTCAATTACAATTTTTTTCGTTGTCCAAATTGAAAGATTGTATAACATTGTTTAAAGGGTCCTAGCTGCATGGGAGTATATTGTGAAAGGGAGAGAAGGGATGGCAGGGAAATGATACTACAATTTTTTTGTGTGTTACAAACATTTGAAGTTATAGTTTATTATCAAAAATAATACTAGGCAAATTCTGTTCCTTTTGAATCACCTGAAAGTTTTACTTTTGACCTCAAATGAAACAGGAGTTCTGTATTGTGATTCCTGAAAATCCCTAGTGTACAGTTTTGTTTGTGGCAAGTGAGAAACTTCTATGTAACTTTAAAAAAAATTCTAACAGCTTATATTTCTTTAGTTGCACTAATTAATCTTTGCCCACAGAGAAAATAAGTTGAACAACTCAGCTGCTCTCAGCTTTAAACTTTGTGTTAATTTGTTTTAAACAGTGATGGAAAATGCCCTAGTCCTGGTCATACAGGCATGAAATCTCCGGCTCATAATCGATCATCTGGGAAGTCTGTGTCAGAAATGATTAAGCAGGAGGATACGGAAAGTAAATCTCCTTGCAGGAAGCCCCTGTTATGTGATGTGAAAGAAAAGAAGCCATCTGGGTAACTATCAATTCCTTTCAAAGTATGGGTTGTTTGGAGACACTCAATGTAAAATGCAACTTACCACACAATAGAGTGCAATGATTTATTAGTGGAACTCTTGGCAGCAGCAGGGAAAGACATGAAGTTCTTCAGTTGTCTTTGTATTAGAAATAGGAAGAGAAATGGTGTCACAGTGTATGCAAGAAATAAGTAATGAAAATCAGAGAAAAAGAAAAATACTCCAAGATAGAGATAATATTGGAAGTTTAGACCTATGGGATTTCCCTACCTCTCTTTACAAATATGTTAGTGTGTATGTACAGGTATGTGCGTACATGTAAAAATGAGAAGTAAGCCCTTAGCTCTCAGGTTTTGAAATATATTTTTGGTAGAAGAATGGCATGAGATAGTTTCCAAGCTAGTACTGGAAAGTAGTATTTGTGATACAGAAGGGTTGTCTTTGCAACTAAGCAGATACACTTCAGGGTTTTCAAGAGGATATGTAAGGGAATAGGGTTCCCTACATTTTTAACTAATTGCAGTATCAGTGCGTTATTTAATTGTTTTTTCCCTTACAGAAACAGAAGTAAAGCACCCTGGAACTAGAGTTGTAATTCATTATATATTTACTGTAACATCACTATCATATGTTCATAATATATGAACTGTTAAGTGTTAGTAATAATACTAAGTGGCTTGAGAGACTTCGAAGAGTAAAATTTTTTTGGTAAATACCTCACAGTAAAGTTCAGATGATAGAAACTTGCTGTTTATTTAAGAAGCAATTAAATCTCCTGAAATTTTAATCTAATCAGCCACTCCTTTCTTCAGTAAAAAATGTGTTCTTTGTTTTCTCATCAGCTGCAGTGAAAAAATATTGATTACCGAAGCACACTGAATAAATAATTTGTTCAGTAATATACAGTAATTTTATATCATGCAAGTAGTATTTTGCCTCTGTGAGATGCACAAAGCTGTGTGTGTATTTCTGTCTTCTGTTGAAAAAGCATCCCCTGGATGCTTAATCTTCATTTAAGAAAGAAAATATTAACGACATGTGACCCTGCATTATATTACCTGAATTGACTCCTCTTTAATCTGATAGTTAAATCTCACAGAGTTACCTTTTTCTGTTGATCCTAAAAACTTCTGCATTAAAAACATTTAAAAATGTGTGGATAATCCCATTTCTCTCCTTCGTGGTGTGTTCCAACAAATTGTTAAAAACATATACCTTATTCTTCATTTGAATAGGCTGGCATCCAGCTTCTAGCCGTTCAGTCATTTTTCTGCTTTTTCCATATGCAGGAAAGAATACTTAAGCGCCTAGTACTTTCTCTCCAGAATGGAAGCCTGTATTAGCCTTTAGATCAGTTTTGTGTACCTATTATCATTTTTTGGACTTACCAGTCCATTTTTTGGACTTACCAGTCCATATTGGTCTCTGAAGTGCCATGGACAGAAGAAAAATTCTTCCATGCTGCTACTCTTTTTGTAGCACTTAAGGTCACGTTAGTTCTTTTGAAAGAGTTGAACTGGAAGCTCAAGTCTAGCAGTTAACGTGTTGTTAGTTCCAAATATCATTTCAATATTCTTGCTGCCCAGTATAGAATCCCTACAGGCATCCTGCATTTCTTGTGTATGTATAACTGCAGTTGTCTTTAAGCAATTTCTTTGAGTCAGGTGAATTAGATCACTCTGGATCACTATCTTTTCATAATCATGCTACCAATACTTAAATTAACTACAAATTTTATTAGCATTGCTTTATAGTTACTTACATGGATAAAACAAGGAATAGCATTTTCCTAGCATCAGATCCCTTTAGAAATCTTATGAAAGACACCTGATGATGATGATTTTCCATGTTAAATCTTTCCCAGAGGTGGTTCTTTGCTTGCCCATCGGTTGCTATCCCATGGCATGTGTGTATTTACCTCCTGTGTGAGAGACTAGAATGTCTGACTAGCAAATAGGCTTATACAGACGTTTAGCTGCTGAAAACTGTGCGAAAACTGAGCATAAAACATCTATGTAACTGGTGGAAGTATAGGCATTTCCTCTCTGGCACTCTAAGCAGTTAGTGCAACTTTGGGTACAACATAGTAGAGTTTAGATATATAATTCTTTCTTTGTATTTGCCTGCTGATCTCTATGAATGTGTTCAGGTAGGCAAAGCGAGGTATTCTTCGATGTAAAGATATTCCAGCAGATAGTTTCTAAATTGTATATATTTCCCTAGCTTTCTCTAGCTCCCTCTCAAAACTTTTTTACTTCTCTCACAGTAATTAGGAAGTAGTTCATATGAGCTTTATGCCTTGACAGTAGTTACTATTTACAATTGCTTCATAATCTTGCATCATGATCTGGTTCTCTGTACAATGGTGAGTCTTTGCTGTTCCTATACATTTCTATATCTTTTTCTATATTTTTCTTTTATATTCTTGTAAATATGTGAATTTAAGTAGACATCCATGGATGAAAATGTTCTTCTAGTGTCCTCTGCATGTTCTCCTCTGCCTGCTAAAGTGATTTGTGTGTCTTGGATGCTAGATTGTTTTTATGCTTCAACAACCTCCATCCCTTCCTGAGATACTGAGTTACAAACAACCCCAAACTTTAGATCAGGCCTGCCTTCAAGTTTCTGATTAGATGTTTTAATTCTCTTAAGGAGAGCTTAGGCACAGTATCTGTGAGTAATTAATAGGTAAGTCTTTATAATAATTTTAGTAATATTATTTCAGTAAAGATATTTTTTAGATCCAGAATTGCAAGTTTTAAAAGCTTTTAAGATTGTAGATGATTCTGCGGCAAGGGGCATGAGCAGAAAAGTCTGACAAATGCAAGGATTATGTGGTACATGGAATCATGGTAGACTGATCTCAGCTTTGGGTATAAGACTTCCCAGAAATCACCTGCTTCATTTATAAATACTGAAAAATCTGTAGTTCAAAATAGAAGTAGAATTTCCTGCAAGTATGAGCCTCTATGTCTACAGAGTACTTAAGTGAGAAGTTCTTCAATCTGATCGTTTTCTGTGATGATCCAAGATCACCGTAGATCTGGAGCAGATCTATATGGCATATAACAAAAATCTTCATAACAACAGACCTGACTGGATTGAAGGAATGGTTAGCTTTTCCAGCTAATTCTAGATTATTTGGTAGTGGAAGTTGCTTAGGATTTACATTTTATAATTTGCATTACAGTAGTACCTGGTAACGATAATAGTCACCCATTGTGTAGCCATTACACAAAGATGCGGAAGACTGTATTACAGCTAGTGGCATCAGCTTAAACTAGACTTGGAACAGGTGCAGAATTTATGCTTCTGTATCAGATTTTTAAAAAGTCGAAGTTCCTCAAGAGTAAGCTTAGGTTATTCAGGACTAATTCAGGAAAAAAAAAAAAACAGTATCTGTCACTTTCAGACATATCCCCACACTGATTTAATATTTCATAGTGATGAGATCTGTCATCATTTAATGCTGCATCTCATTCAAATATGTCAGATAAGGGGGCCCTAAACTTGACATTAGCTTTTATGCAAGCCAAAAAAAAAAAAAAAAGAAAAGAACATCTGTCCTGGAGAAAAAGAGAGGGATAGAAGAGGGTCTTGCCGTATCCTCCCCATCCAAAACTCTTTTCTGCAGCTAAACTTCTTGTCACTTATTCAGGATTGCAGAGGTAGAAAAGACACCATCCAGTATTATCTGAATTGGATATAAAATCATATCCTCAAGTGGTCATGGATCTTGAACAATTTCTCTGCCTTATAGCTAGGCACTTTCCTGGAGAAATTTGTAGCCAGCTTCAATGCCAGTCCCAGATTTTACTGAGCAGATTCTTATAGGGAGCATAGATCAGACTGGAGAGTCCTCCTGCATGTAATAGAAAGAGTAAGCTTTCCTAAGATATGACACTGAATTAATTTGTAGTTCCTCAGCAGAAATAATATCTTCAGGGAATATTTCAGGCATTAGTATTGTGAATCCTTTGGATAATGTTCCGTGTGATAGGAATGTCTTCCTGTAGGCTAGAATTGTTCATCAGTGAAGCCTTCTAGATTCACATGATTCAGATCAGCCAATGGTTTACAAAGGAGACCAGCAAACTTTTTCAGCTTTGAAAATGTTTTTTCGTACCTCATGTCTATATAGTCAAAATCTTGGTGGAGAACTCTATATCATAGTTCAGAAGAGAAACAAAGTAATTCTGTGTCTTCTCAAGAAGTTAAATAACTGGATATGCTTGGAAGGCTACCTGTTCTGTTACTGGAAATGAGATTATGGGAAATGATCAAGCAGTAATGGCCCCCTATCAGTATGACTTTTTAAGCCACACGCTGGTAAATCAGAAGAGATAGTTGATACAGTTTTATTTGGAAGCTCAAAATGTGGCAGGAGACACACTTGCTGTATCAGCAATTCTTTCAAAAAAAGCAGTATAATAAATAATATAAACGGCTTATTTTTTACTCCTTGTTTTTCCCAAAGTTAGTAATTAGCTATGTGGAAAAAGTACTGAGTAATACATATTTCTGTACTTTACTGCATGTAGAGCTAGAATGCCTAACAAACTTATTTTCATGGTATTTAGCAATTGAAGATCTACAAACAATTTTTAGTTTACAAAATTATAAAACAACATTTCTCTCTATTTTTGGGAAGAGTATTTTTGAAAGAAACATAAATTATGGAAGAAGCATTGAAATTTAGCATGAGACTAAACTTACCTTATTTATATTTTCCAGCAGTGTCTGAATCTGTGGAATCAATAGAATAAGAATATATTTTTTGAAGTAGTTACTGTAACTTGTCCAGAGAAAATAACATGAAGAATATCAAATGGAATTAATATTTTATCAATAATAATCAATATTTCTAATCTTAAATAGGAGTCTTCATAGTAAATTGTGCAGCCTGTGAACTTGTATGTGCAAATTCTCCTTAAACTGAAATTGAATTTAAGAAATATGGAGTATAGCTAAGAAAAAAAAAAAGTAAGCTTTTAAGAATAGTTTGAAGTAGGTGCTTCAGAAGAAGTAGAAATTTTTCCTTTCTCAACGTGTTTATGGACGTAACTTAATAAAAAATCTGCAGAACTTCTCTGTGATTTATTCTCTCTGTGGTATGAAAATAATTTCCATATCACAAATAACGTTCATTAGTCATATTCCAGTGAATTTAAACAGGAAAAACAAAAGACAAAGAAGAGAGTTTTGTGGGTAGTTCTGAAATGACTTATGTTAAATGATAGTTGTCATTCATCATTTTAATCATAATTCTGGTAAGTTCGTTTTTTTAGAAATAAACACTAACTTTACAGAATCTCTCTTAAAACTTAATTAAAGAACGATTTATTTGGACTTTCATTTTTCAGAGGGTGTTATTTTTATCAAGCCCTGAAAGAGCAAATTATCTGTTCTGTGTGTTCAATCTCACTCAGGTAATAACAGCCTCCTGCCAATTTTGAACTACCCAGAGGCTTTGTGTTTGATCTGTTTGATTGCACTGATGCCTATCTGAATTTCATACTCCAGCTTTCATGTTCTTTATGTAATCCAGCATAGTCAGGGAGGACTTTTACCTGAATAAACTTCCTTTTAAAAAGGCATGAAACATTCTTCACAACATTTGGTGAATATGAACTACTAGAGTTATTAAACATTGAGCATCTGGTTATTGCAATACCCAGTGAATCTTTTTTAGATGTGTGTTCAAAGTACACATGCTTAATTGAATTCATAGATATGCCTACTTGTGCGCTTTTTAGCTTCTGAGTTCCTAGTATGTTGTAATTATGTTTGACTTTAATACAGTGTGCATGTCTTCATGTGCCAGGTAATCTTTTGTTTCACAGAAGTACTTGGTTGAGAAACCAACTACATATACAACCAACCTCAAGATTTAATTGTGTTAAATCTAAGTGGTACTTAGAAAGCTAATTTCCAGTTCTCCTTCACCTTTCGCTTCCCTTTCCCCTTCCCGCCAGCAACCGATTTCTGTGCCTGCAAACTAGAAAATCATTTTGCAAACCAGTGTATGTGCATAAAAACTGCGGTCTGTTCCTGAGATTAAAATTGAGGATAGAGAGGCTATGCGTCTTCACAGTGGCAAAGGGATTTCACTGTAATAGGTGTTACACTCTGGAAATAATTATAATTAAGGAGGATGGGTACACAGTCTTGGGGATCAAATGATGCTAGCTTATAAAATAAAAATCAACTTATCATCCAAACCTTCCCTTAAACCTTTCAATTTGTAATATTATCCTATATTTAGCTAGTGAGACAAAATTTTTGGATGTATGTTTCTATGAAAATTGTCCTGAGGAAAATAGGAAGATGGGTGTTTCCTCACAGCTTTTTTATGTCGAATTGCATTAGTCATTTACTTTGGCTCTGGAATTAATTGCACTACTCTGTTGCATCATACTTTAAAAGATTTCTGTATTTGTGGGTTGGAAAAATCACTTTTCAGTAAATAAATAAAGGTGGTATATATGAGAAAGATGATATGGAGAAGTAATTTGTGCCAAAAGAAGGCAAATTAGCTGTAGCGATTCCTTTGGCTGCACCTGTCATACCATTATTTGTGTAGTGCCAAATGCTACAGTGGCCAGATTTCTGATCCGTGGTGTTCATTTTGCGCTGTTTATAGTGTGCCTGATATACTTAGGTTGATGTCAGGGAACCTGCAGTTCCCACCTGGTTTATTACCTAAGTGTTTACTCCTCTTTAATAGATGTATATATAAATAATAGAATTAAACAGGTCTATTTCTTCTGTGAGTTTGTGTTATGAGGCTGGCTAATCTTCATGTCTAATACAGTGTTAGCTCTAAGGTTCAGGCTTTTTTATACATTTTGGGGGCATTTTTAAAGGTGTTCTTATTGCTAGCTTCTCTGATATCTATTAAAGCATGAGTTCATGTAGGAGGCTTTCTTTTAGTAAAGTCTTTGTCTGGTAGTTATTTTTACAAAATGAGTATTATGTACGTAGTATCTGTGAGACTTCTGCATCTGTGATGTTTTACTCTGAATTAGACCAAAGTGTTCTCAAGGTATTAAGGGGGGAAGGAAATAAATGCACACATAAAGTCAGCAAGTTTACACAAGCTTCATTTTTGTAAGAAGCCAGATAGGAAATACCTTCTGAAGACAGAGTTTGAAAAGGAACTTCTTATGGGCTAGAATTAGGATGAAAATACCCTTTTCCTATAGAATTTTCCTTCTTCCCACTTCTCTTCCCTATTAAGAGGTAGGGCTGTCCCTCTGTGGAAACATTTGATCTGGCAAAGCTGAGGGAGCAGCCACAGTCAGCAGGCAAGAACGATGGCTTTTTCAGCCACCCAGGAAGTAATACAACAAAAATAACAAAAAAACCCAGCTATTTTTCAGTGGGATAACTTAACAGCTGCATAACAGTGTGTTGGTACAGTGCAGGAGTTTGAATGGGGTGGAGTTGATGACTGGGCAGTAAAAAAGGAATAGATACTGCTTAAGACGGCTCCTGAAACATGCCTGATTGTGGGAAATGCAGCATATATGTGTGTCCTCTGCTGTGGACTCATCCACTGCCTTCATATATATTTTTTCCAGCTATGAAGTCAAGTGCGTTGATCTGACTTATGTTTAATTTATACTGCTTTTGAACCTTTATTTAAAAATTCATGTCCAGAGGTGTGTTGCCATCTGTGTAAGTTAGAAATTAGACCCTCTAATTTTTTGTTTTTAATGTTGATACAGCCTTCATTATGTGGGAATCCTGGAGTGTTAGTAACAACTCTTGCATAGTTAGCAAGAGGCTTTATCATGCTTAGTGATTTTTATGATATAATAAAAAGGGAACATCTTGTTTTCCTCAGTGGAGTGCAACAAACAAAGGACTCCATAAAGAACAGAGAGCGTGAAGAAGAGGAGATGGAAAATAAGCTGCTCACTTCAAATGAAATTAAAGGTAACTTGGCCATGCTTCGTTTGTCTGATACGAAGATCTGTAGAACTAAAGGAGTATGATATTCTTTTTAATTCTTTGTGAAAACTTTGCGACATTGCGACTTATTTTCCACATGCACTATTTGTCTCCAAAAATCTTTTGAGAGAAGCACTTTTACCTCTTTGTTTCTTTATCTTGTAATCAACAAAGGATTTGCTAAGAACTTTTTACAGCTGTAAAGATGAGGGCAAATCAAATGCTGGTATAAAAAATTTCATTTCAAGGTTATTTTTTCCACTGGCTTTAACAACAGATGGTTAATCCAGTCAGAGTTGTACAGGTGTAAAATTAATCTGTTGCTTCAAAAGCTTCATTGAAATAGAAGTTAAAGATGCAGAGTTTATCATTTACACACTGCAGTCATAATGCAAAGTTAAGGTGGCTTATTCTGCCCAAACTCAGTCTGTTATGCAGTCCGATACTTTCTAGCAGTCCATGGGCAGAATGGACCTTTTGTTTTTCATGTGAGTTGGGCCTGAAACCTAATTATCCTCCGTTGAGAGGGATGGCCGAAGTTTTACTGCATTGAAAAACTGGAGATGGTTTCCTGGAGGGCCACCAAGATGATTAGAGGATTGAAAAAATTGATATATGAAGAAAGGTTGAAAATTTGTTTTGTTCAGCCTAGGGAAGAGAAAGCTTGGGAGGATTACTCACAGTCTTCTGGTAACTCAGAGGTATTTAAAGAGAAGGTGGAGGTGCTCTCTTCTCAAGGATGCATGGTGACAGGACAAGGGGCAATGGGCACAAGTTGCTTCAGTGGAAATTCTGTCTGGATGTGAGAAGACAATTCTTTACCATAAGAAGAGTTGGAATAGACTGCCCAGAGAAGTGGTGGACTGCTGAAAATATTTAGGAATTTAGGACCTGACAAGATAACTTGTCAAGGTATCTAAGTTATCCAGATAACCCTGGACAAGTTATTCTAATGCCCTGCTCTAACAAAAGGTTGGACCAGATGATCTCCAGAGGTCAATTTCAGCCTAGACTTTTCTTTGGTTCTTTGATTCTGTGTGATTGTGTTATTGCTGAGTCAAAACTCTTGACCGTTCACCGACGTAGCTGGATAGATTGAGGTAACTGCTCATAATTCATCTTTATCCTACATTCAAAAAGAACACAGTACAAAAGCAGAACATCACAGTCTTACTTTTGAGTAATTGTTTTCCATGCATGAGACTTAATATGTCAGACTACTCAGTTACTGAGCTGAATGAGTGCATCACTTCAGTGCAGCTTTTGATGCAATAATATTTCAACTCGTACGGACGGGATCGTTGAGAAACTAGGTGATCTTCATTTCATGATTTAATTCCTGAACTTTTTATATTTTTCTTCAGCAATTGGTTGTACCGTACACCAAATTGCACCGTAAGATTTTCGTCAGGAAACTTAAATAAGACTTCAGTAACTGTAGTTTTTTAAGGGCTACCTTACCTTTTAAACAAGCTCATCTTCATTAAACCCTAGAAATTCCTGTGGACTAGTAGAGCGTGATGTAAGCATAGCACAAAAGGAAGGCAGTGTTTCGGTTTTAATTATTAACCCTTTAAAGCATCTTAAAACAGTGCTTATTTGCCCGCACCTTTCAGATGGATGCAAGAGGCACTCTGAAGAGTGTGTAAAGTATGAAAGATTCCGTCTAGTACGAGAGCTATGCAAAGGGTGGAAAAATACATGTTATGAAGGTATTTTGAAACATGTTGTAGGTCAGAGTTCTGAAGAAGAAGAAGAAGAAGAATTAAAAGTAGCATCTCTCTAAAGCAAGTAAAAAGAAAAACAGGTTTTGGTCATTTGAAGTATTTTGTTTCAGTAGAATAGAAACATGCTCTTTTGACGTTGATTTGCATTATATAACACTACACAAAAATTTTAAGATACCAATAGTTCAGAATGTTGTAAATTATCAAATTTTTCTTTTTTTTTAATGCTAAGAAAGCTGGCCTGATTTTGTAAAGCATTTCGATTTTGGCACAACTGAATATTGACTGAATTGAAGTAAAGTTTCACCAACAAGTTTTATTTACTATTTAGGATGCATTTCTGTGTAGGGTCCTGTAGAATTAGATTTGTAAAACTAGAATACTTTCTTACTTTGTTTACAGAATGATTCCTTTAACCTCATTTATATATGCCTAATATTGTGCATTATTCATGTAAATGTACCACAATACGTAAACTTTAGGGTGGAAGTGGATCTTTGAGTTTGTGTTATCATAGCCACAGAAAGCTCAAGCTAAGGTAATTTCAGTTGGGCAGGTTTTTGTGGACTGTGACTATTGGCAACTGAGCTTATTGCCCTGATTTTTCTGCATGTCACTTACATTATGGTTCCCTGACATATTTTTGCCGTGCTCATTTGATCAGTTTTCTACTGATACTTTAGAAAATGTGAACTGTGCTTCTGTCTTCCTCTTTTGGAGAAAGATTAGAGCCAAAGAACTCCGCTGAAATCAGAGCCCCATAATACTAGCTTTTGTATGGACACAAATCCTATGTTTAAAAGTTTGATGTGGATTATGAGCTAGAAAATGCAGGGGGCGTGAATAATGTTAGGTGTCTCCCAATGCCAAAGAGTGTTTGCCGTTTAGCTTCTCTGAAAATTTAAATTACATTTTATTGAAAGGTACCTAAGAAGACAGAGATGAAGTAAGGAGTTACAGATGTTTCAGGGAGAAGGATAACAAGGCACAGTTAAATATTAAATAGAGACAGGTGGACTGAAGCTGAAGGAAAATGTCAGCAGAGAACAGTGATTAGGATTAAAATCTGTCCTAATGTTGATGTTACTGCATCTGTTTCTGCTATCTTGCATATAGAGCTGGCAGAAATTTTGTTTCTTCTCTCATCTGGTGCAAGGCAGTCTCTGTGGCTCTGTGCTGCAACTGGTTGCATGGGGCACCCCAAGGTCCTGTTCTCTGACATGTCCAGATTTGGACTTTATTTTGGAGTACATCTGTTACCTCTGGCCCACAAACACAAATTTCCTTTTCGTTGAAACCAGAACGTACAGAGTGAGAAAGAGTACAGCGTGAGGTAGGGAGCACATTTTTATGTGTAAACGCAGAAGTCTGGTATTATGGATAAAGACTGAAGGCAAAATGCTGCTTTTTGCACTGTCTTTGGAAGAAGTTACCCCAGCTAAACCTAAACTCTTTGCCAGGGATGTGGTTGCCCGTGCTGTGGAGTTGGAGGGTTTTTCTTAACCTTGCTTAATCTGGTTGAGTAAATTAGCATTTTACATGCTCATTTTGTGCAATTTAATGTGTGAGGCAGATAAGGCTGCTGATAAGCAGAGGCATTTTTGCCCAAATCCTCAAAAGTATTAGACACTGAATTCCTTTTCATGTCAATTACTAGAGCTCTTGAGTGAACAGATGAAGGACAAGGTTTAGCATTAGGAAATGCCACATTAGTGAACTTACTTGCTGCTAATCTCATTCGTAACCAGCTGAACTGTGTTTGATGAAGATTTCAAAAAAAATCACAGCATGGGACAGAATTTCTACTGGAACAGTTAAAATTTGACAAAGCTATAAACTACAACTACTATGGAAGAGAGAGAGATTATCTTAGCTGTCACTGCTGCTACCAGCTATGCTGTACCTATGTACTCTTATGTATACATATGTTTCTACACATGCAGCAGAAATGCTAGGAGTGCAGTTTGCTTGGAATTTCCTTCACATAATATTATTGTCTGTTATTTGTGCTACAGTGTCAATGTAGTACATGCGTTGCAAATGGAAAACAAAAAAAAAAAGCCTAATAAATGTTAATTTTTAGAAAGAAAAAATCAGGGGGATAAGGATGGGGAAGTGGCTCAAGAAAACGAGGACAAAGCTATTGTTCAGTAAAGCAGGCTTTTCATTCAGCATGCATGCTGCCTCATGACTTTTTTTTTTTTTTTGTCACTGTGAAGTGCAGGCATTTAAGGGAATCAGTTTTAAGAGTAAGAGTATGACACTGGAAAAAAATTAAGGAGTTTATTTAAAAATCTAATCAGTAGGCTGGCAATCCTCACTAAATGGACGAGGAGTCAACGTCTGCGTAACGGATGTTGGATATAAAGTGAGGCTAGCTCTTGAAAACGGCAAAAATTTAAGATGGTGGAACAGAAGCAGCCAAGAGGAAGGGAGATCAAAGTTACCAGCTTTGGAAAGAACTGTACTGCAGCATTTTGGAGAGACTGTATTTCTCTAGGCTAGAAAACAGGATGTTGCGAATTGTCATGTGCCATTACATCCTGAAGGGGAGTTACAGCTAGAGAGATGAAGAAGAAAGGCAGTGAAGATTCAGAAAGAACCACCATAGCTTGTGTGTGAGTCTGGAGTGTGGCCTGATTGGAAGAACGTGTAGTGGTCCTGAATGATGAAGAGAAGACACAGGAGAGGATGCAATGCCGAGTTCCGTGTTCTGGTTTTGCGGTCTGGAATTTGGAGTGATAGGGACTTTGGTCTAGCTGAAAGAAGATAGGTCTGGGGCAGAGATTTGGGATTTGTCTAACGTAGAGATGTAAGTGTTTAAATTAAGAGAATCTGGCAGTAAAGCTGTCAGAGATAAGATTGAGATGATTAGAGATACTTTATGGAACTCCTCCTAATGCAGGGTGGGTGGGGGGAGGAAGATTTTTCGAAGGCGATGCCATAGGACCGTTGAGAGGTGTAGACTAGAACAAAGTGAATCACAGAAACTGGGTAAGGACAAGACTACATAAAGGAGTATTGAAATGGAAAAAAAAGGTCTGATAAATCAG